ACACAGCTCATGAACACCTGGAGACACCAGCAACCAGTGCTCAGCTGAGGGCTGGAGAGACACGGAGGCCACAGAGGGGTGCGCAGCTGTCGCTGCACCGGCATGGACTCAGTGCACTGCTCGCATGTGGCTCACTCACGTTCTGCGCTAGGGGAGGTTTCTAGAATTTTTCGGGGGGGGGGGGGTCAACTGTTTCAATCCAGAGTTGTTTGAATCCACAGGTGTGAAACTTGCAGGTATGGTGGAATGCCTGTACTTTGGTAACACTTAGGCCTGGACTTACGTAAGATTATGCTTATAATAATACAATGAAATATTCATAGAGCATATTTTATTAATGAATAACAAAATACCAAATAAAAATTTTTTGGCAAATATTTTCTACATCTCAAAAGGCAGAAGAAATAAGACAAAGAAAGAATCTGTCGGGGGATGGAAAAGATGCAAAGAACCTGTATGTCCTGGTGCTCAGGCAGGGCACACTGGGTCAGCACAGCTACTGAAGCCTGAGGGACACAGGGTCGTCCTGCAGTGTCGTGGACCAGGTAGGCCTGCCTGGCAGCACCCACACACACCCCGGGAGAAGAGACTCCACAGAGAAAGGCAACAGAAGGTTGAGGAAAGCACACCAGAGAAGCACGTGCTACAGACACGACGTGAGAATAAGAAAAGGATACGCAGGAAAGCTCAAGAGCAAGGCTTCGGGTCTCCAGGACCAACACCTCAGCATCTGTCCAGAACGGGACCAGGATGTGAGGAATCGGGAACGACTGTGCCTGAACCAGGACCAGAACTGGATAACACTCTCCAAACCCCAAGTCCACGTGCGGAAAGAAGTCATAGGATTCCTCCATGTTCTCGAGGACAGCTTAACCAGCAGGAATGAGGGAAGACAGCTGGAGTTTATCGTAAGGGGGCTCCATCTAACAGCCAGGGCTTCCTGGCCACTGGGTCACACGCAGGACCCACCTCTCCGGGACAGTGCGGGGCCACCAGGCTCAGGGAGGAAAGGAGACTGCAGACTGTTTTCTCATTGTAAGATCTGATTACAACCCGGAACCTGAAGTCTCACCTGCGGACAATGATGGCGCACTGATGACATGAATAACACATTATTTTGAAGCGTCTCAAATTTTAAAAATAAAGGATGTATGCAGAGTTCAGAGACGATCATGATAATCAGGTAGTGGAAGAATTCAATAATGAGAAAAAGCTTGAGCTAATTAAGACATTTTGGGACAAGATAATGATACATTTATCTGAATGATACATATTTTAAGAACAGACTAAGAGATTTTGTACCAGGAAAGACAGTCAGAATGATTACCTTGAAAGGAAAAGGTAATTTAGGATAATTCAGTTATTATACTGTTTGTAAATTTCAGTCACACATACACACAATCACAGGTTAACACTAAGCTTTAAACACGGTTATTAACATTACAAAGTGGATAATTAACTGATTAAAGGAAGAAGTCCTATTTAAATTCTTGAAAAACCTATTTGCTCTAGTTTTAAGATTTTTAGACAACCTGATTCAGTATCTCTTTCTCTTCCTAAAATCAGAATGCTAACTGATTGACATAAATGGGAAAAAATTTTGATTTGAACATCACTTGGTTCAGAATCACCCGACCTGGTGTGGAAAGGAGATTATAAAAATGATTATGTGTACATGTGGATTAGTCAGCGGAGACTGTTGAATGTTGTAGGGCTAAGGGCGCCCTTGGCCTCTGTCCCCATGATATGTACGACACTGCAGTGGTACCCAGACTCCCAAGACCGTCACCAAGGTTTCCAATAATCCTGAGGCATCTTCAAATTGTCCAAAAATCCCTTTAAAATAAGGAAAGTTGTATCTATAGAGTTTTCTAATAGGTATGATTTTAAGCCACTATGATTTAAACAAAACAGTCTTGTGCACTTGACTTTAGTATTAAATAAACTGAAATAGTGAGAATTTACCTCCTAACCTGTCCTAGAAAAGGTGTATTTTAAAGTTTTTAACTATTTAGTACAATAAACTTTCCACAAAGTATACAGTTGACAAGGCATACACCTGTGCAACCATCAGCACAGCCACGATTACGAATCTGCCCGTCACTCCCCACTCCTGTCTCTTCTGCCCTCCTTCTCTCCTGACCCCAGGCAACCAGGACTCTGCCACTACAGATCAGCTGGAAATTTCTAGAACTAGAATCATCCAGCATAAACTCTATATCGTCTTCTTTCACTCTAATTATTTTGACAACCACTCATGTTGCTGTGGATATCAAAAGATCATTCCTTTTTTATTGCTAAGTAATATTCCACTTGTACGGATAAATCACAATTTGTTTAACCACTTACTTGTGGACAGATATTTATTCCCACTTTTTGGTTATTACAAATAAAGTTGCCAGCAGGTATGTACAGTGTTTCTCTGGACCTGTTTTCATTTCTCTGGGGATTACCTGGGAGTGGAACAGATAGGTGAGACAGTAGTGCTGGAAGTCTACTCCACCCCACCTTTCCCCTTGCTGGGTGGGAGCAGCCGGCCCCTGCAGCTTCATCAGCTCGTGGCGCGGTCAGACTCTGTATCTGCAGCCATTCTTGCGAGCACATCACAGAATCTCGCTGTGGGGTCAGCCTGCACTTCCCTAACACTGACGACGCTGATCACCTTACAGGTGCTCATCTGCTGCTCATAGACCTTCCTGGGCTGAAACTGTTCAAACCTTTCACCTGCTTTTACATGGGGTGTTCGTTTTTTTTTTGAGTTCTTTAGATACTGTGGATAGCAGTCCTTGATCAGAGTCATGATTTAAAATCCTGGTCTGTGCTCTCTGGTTTTTCTTTCTTTTAACAGAGCAGAGAGCAGAGTATTTAATTTTTATTAGTCCAACTCATCAATATTTTCTTTCCCGGAGTGCATGTTTTGTGTTTGACCTGAGAAATCTTCACCTTAACTCCAGGTCAAAAAGACTTTTCTTCACGTGCTCTTCAGGAAGTTCGGTAAGCTTTAGGCTTTTTATCTAGATATATGGTCCGTTTGAGAACCGGATGTATTTACTGAAGTTCATTTTGCTTTATCAGAATAGTCAATGGTCTGGCACTTGGTGAAGAGCGTGCTTTTTTTCTCTGCTGAAGTGACTTTTCACCTTTGTCAAAAATCAGTTGTCTATATAAAAGGGGCCTTCAGCCAGTTCATGAAAAACTAGAATTGAAATGTAAGTCTGGCGCCATGGCTCAATAGGCTAATTCTCCGCCTTGTGGCACCGGCACACCAGGTTCTAGTCCTGCTCAGGGCGCCGGATTCTGTCCCGGTCGCCCCTCTTCCAGGCCAGCTCTCTGCTATGGCCCTGGAGTGCAGTGGAGGATGGCCCAAGTACTTGGGCCCTGCACCCCATGGGAGACCAGGAAAAGCACCTGGCTCCTGCCTTCGGATCAGCGTGATGCGCCGGCCGCAGCGCGCCAGCCGCGGCAGCCATTGGAGGGTGAACCAACGGCAAAAGGAAGACCTTTCTCTCTGTCTCTTTCTCTCACTGTCCACTCTGCCTGTCAAAAATAAATAAAAAAATTTTAAAAAAGTAAGTTTATTTTGATGCCCCTAAATTTGAAAGCCATGCTTTTTCCTAATATTCATTTTCTAGGAACTTTCTGAAGACCATCAATATGCACAGATTTCAAAATTTTTTCTACCAAAATCAACTTCTACTTCCATTTTCCATAAACCTTTCTGAAGTAGCCTTGTATGTATAGCTCTATTTCTGAACTCTATTCTGTTCCACTGATTGCCTACCTTGATATCAACAGTGTCTTATTATAGCTTGTAAGTCTTGAAACTAACATTGTTCTATTCCTTAAAAAAAAATAGAACTTTTTAAAGTATTCTGCATTTCCATGAGAATTTCAGAATCAGGTTGTCAATTTCCACTAAAGAGAAAAAGCCTAGTAGACTGAAGCTACAAAACCACAGAGCGGTTGGAGGGCAGCAGTCTCCTAACTGTGCCAAGGAGCTCCCTCACACGCGAGCTCATCAGCCCTCCGTACAGGACTGCCGCACACCCCTGGGCAGCGCTCTCCTCTCCCACACTCTGTCCTGCCAACTCCAGCCGCCTGGATCTTCTGAGCACTCCTAGTCCACGTCTTCATCCCCATCTGGGCTTCCCCTCCCTGTGCTGCAGCCTGGACTCCCTCAAGGCAGTAAGCTGGCCAAGCACAGGACTCCCCTCACTGATCTGCTCAGGGCTACTTGTCCTTTGCTGGAGGTGTCCAGTGTCTTCCAAACCACGGTGCCATGTGTCTGCCTACTGTTAAAGCTGTTGCAGGCAGCAGGGTAAATCCAGTCCTGCCATTCCATCTTCGCTGCATGTGGAATCTCAGTTGAAAATAATGTTATGTCAAATCCATTCTCAAAGTTATAAAATCCAAGTAAAAACAGGACAAAAACAAAATGAGTCATTAGTGCAGTGTCTACCATTGTTCAGCTAGTCCTTCATTTACTGATTTTATTCTACAAATATTCCGAATTCCACACAGTACGCACTGAGGATCAAAGGCAGGCATGCCCGCTGCTCTCACAGAGCTCACAATCTAGTGGGCAGACAGATCTCATCCCAAGCAAAGGGGGAACAATGGGGCTGCAGTACCTACCATGAAGGACACGGGTGGAATAACGCCGCGAGGACCCAAAGATTTTATGGTATTTTTTTTGCTGAGCCTAAGTTCATGAGTTGAAAAATGAAAACAAGGGAGAAAAAGTATCTATTCGATAAACTTCTCAATATATGATGAACCTAGCAGCTGAAGATAATATGCTTTGGAACATACAGAAGTTATGACAAAAATCCCATGAAACTTAAGAGCCAATGGAACACATGAAATATAAAAATATATATGAATATGAATAAGTGTAAACTTATCACCTAAACATCATTTTGTCCATTCCTGTTAAGAAATTAGAGAAATTTTAATCAGCTCTTTCAAGAAAACAGTCCGTTCACTTTGCTAGGTCTTACCTGGATATCTCAGCTTGGGAGTTCTTCTCCCCGTCCACAGTGAAAGGAGACGCTCCCGTCAGTAACTCGTACATCAGGACCCCTAAGCTCCACCAGTCAACGGCCTAGAAAACAGCAACTCCGTTTTATACATTATCAACTAAAACATTTTTAAAAGAAGGAAAAAACTATGCATTTAAAAAGCATTTTTCTTTCTGTAATTTGAGAGACAGGCAGACACACACACACACACACAAACAGAAGCAGTCCCATCTGCTGGTCACTCCCCAGACACCTGCGATGGTTGGGGTCAGGCCAGGCCGAGGCCACGAGCTGGGACTCAGTCCAGGTCTCCAATATGGAAAAGTCCTAACTGGCATTCTGGCCCCTGGAAAATATTGTAACAAAAGATTTTGTACACTAACTTTCTGTGCAAGAAGAATTAAATTAGCACACACAATGAAGACATTTAGAGAACAAAATATCCAGGCGACTGCAGCACAGAAAGCTTTGGAATCATTTCCTCAACTAGTAAGCTTCACCTCATTCAGAGAAGTTCTAACCTGAAATCCATTTTGAAATTTCTGAAGAAGACTGGGTGCTGTGTTTGGTGGTTAAGATGCCCACAACCTGCACTGGAGTGCTAAGGTTCAATTCCTAGCCCTGGTTTCTGATTCCAGCTTCCCGCCAATGTAGATGCCAGGAGGTAGTGGTGATGGAACATCTACCTGGGTTCCTGCCCCCGCCTGGGAGACCTGGACTGTGTTCTCAGCCCCTGGGTCCAACCCCAGGGCCAGGCTGACCTGACAGCTGCAGGCATTTGAGGAGTGAACCAGCAGCCAGGAGCGTGATCTGTCTCCCTCTGCTTTTCAAAAAAATATTAATTAATTTTTTTTGAAATTTGAAGTAGGTGAGATATTTGGACATATGATGGTGGGGGGGGGGGGAGTACTAATTAGTGATTTTTATGAGTATTAAACTCCTATGGACCTTCCGAAACTCCTTAAAGTCACAGAACAAAAATGATGAAAAATATCTCATCCAAGGGCGTTATTTTTTTCCTAACTGCCTAAATCAATTCCTCTTACAGAACCTATCACATAAATCTATGTGATGGATAGATCTCAAACAGTAGAAAATAAAATGTGCCCTACATTGGAACAATTTATAACTGCACTTACCTGAAGTGCGAGCACAGCAAATTACATATGGCTTAAAGAGTCTTGATATATTGAAAATTAGTTCTTTTGTAAGTAGGCAAATCAGATGTCAGTAACAGCTGAACCTACAAGCTTATACCAATAAGAAATATTCACTGGCTATTAAAATGTTAAACTGCCAGCTTCTAAATTCCAGGGCTGAATTTTCAGAGAGGTGACACAGAATGTGTGAGGCTGAAGCTATTTCAAAGAAAACACTGGACGCTGACACATGACACAGAAGTGCAAGAACAAAATCAAGAGAGGAAAGGAATTTATTGAACACTAATGGGCGCTGTGCATACATTATCTCATTTAATCAACTCACAGTCACCAGGGTGTTCCTCTGTGGGAAAGAATACTGAGTGACTGCTCTTAGCACCCATGGATGCAGAAATTCTAGAAGGGATGGAAGGTCTTCTCTGAAAGTTGACTCCTTAATTCCATGAAATCTTAGAAGATAATTTTCTAATTTTAACAGTTAAATCCCAGAAAATCCTCCAACAGCTTCAAAGAATATCACAAAACAAACAAAACCGGCCAGTGGATGGTTATCTGGCTGCAGAAGCCATTTCATTGTCATTTGAGTCAACTCTCAGAATAATCTGTTGCTGAATTTGAAATGATGCAGAGACCAAAATCAGATTCCCAGCATGGGCCTTAAACCAATACCACACAGACTGGAAAAATGGGCTTTTAAACGTATGATTAGTCATTGGAGGGGAGACCAGAAAATCCCACAGGCAGATACCGAAAGAGGATGCAGGAAAGGGGAAGAGCAGGACCAAAAACAGTCAGAATTCCCTTATTTGGAGAAAGTTATTAATAAAGCAAAAGTGTTATGAAAAAACTGAACAAACTTTGTACCCTTGAATAAAAGAAAAGGCCCTGTGACCTAGATTTTATAGCATAATTACTGAGAAAGCTGCCTCTATCATCTTCACTTTGCACAGGGAGAATGTAGAGGCCAAAAAATGGAGGTTTTTGTTTAAAAAAAAAAAAAAAAGAAAAAGAAGGCTTGGGGGCCAGCACTGGGGCACTGCGGATTAAAGCCCCAGCCTGCAGTGCCGGCATCCGATAATCCAGCTCCCTGCTAATGTGCCTGGGAATAGCAGAGGATGGCCCAAGTCCTTGGGCCCCTGCACCCATGTGGGAGACCAGGAAGGAGCGCCTGGCTCCTGGCTTCAGATCAGCTCAGCTCTGGCCGTTGCGGCCGTTTGGGAGTGAACCAGCAGATGGAAGACCTCTCTCTCTCTCTGTCTCTGTCTCTATCTCTCTCTGTCTTTCAAATAAAATAAAATAAGTCTTCAAAAAAAGAGGGCTTAGGAAAACAGACTTAGTTTCTCTTTTTCCAAGGTTTGTACGATGTTTGCTTCTGCTGGAGGGACAAACATGGTCCCTTGGACCTCTGCAAAATTACAGGCAGAAACTGGCAATGAGAAAGCCTTAGGGACTCCTGAGGGACGGGCTCCAGGACCCCTGGGGATGCCAAAGTCTGCAGATACTCAAGGCCTTAATGCGAAGTGGCTCAGAATTCCCATGTAACTCACGCACATCTCCCTGTATATTTTAAGTCATAGCTAGATTAATTATAATACCTAATAGGCTGGAAGTGCTCTATAAATAGTTGCTACACTGTACTGCTTAGGGAATAAGGACAAGAGAAAAGAGGTCTGCACCTGCTCAGTGCAGACAGAATTTTTTCCCAAGTATTTTCAATCTGTAGTTGGCTGAATCCACACATGTGGACCCTGCAGGTGAGGAGCCTGAGTTGAGTCAAGGAGATGCAACGATTATGTAGCTCTGTATCTTTAACCGACATCAGCAAGGCCAGAGAGCACCGTCCTGAATCGCCATCACGACTCAGGCAGGCACAACGTGCACATGCCCCGGGCTCGGTGCTGCCTCCACGGTGCCGAGTGCTTCACCGGTGTTGTGAAACACCAGGGCCCACGCGAAGGAAAAAGAATACTTTCTTAAGAGAGTCATAGTTGGTGCTTTGCTGAAGATACAGGCTCTTTATGTGGAAATAAAATAAAAATTATCTGAAGGGCTAGTCAGTTTTGAGGTATCAAGTTTAACAAGAAGCAGAGTTGCTGTTGAAGATAAACCTCAGTTAGTAGCTACGGTCCTCACTGCGTGTTTGATACAAATATATAAAGAAGCACATAAAACAGATCGTACCTTGTCATGTCCCGAGTCTCCCCCTCGGACGATGTCTGGCGCCATGTACTCGATAGTTCCACAGAAGGAATATGCTCTTTCAGTCTGAACAAACAAACAAAAGAGGGATTCAGTTCAAGCCACCAGGGTGAGCGACCAAAGAAGAAAGTCGTTAACGCATCAGTGGTGAGCGCAAAGTACAATCGACCTACAAACCCACTGGTCACCAGGAGGGACCACGAGTCCTGGACAGACATCCTGTCAGAAAAACTTCCCCACCTGAAACCCTACCATCATCCATCCATTCATCCATCATCTTTCATGCATTTCAGTTTTTTAAAAAAACAAAACTTTTTTTAAAAGAATGCAAATAGTCCTAGTAGGGCAACCCAAGCTGACGTAACCCTGCAGTGTGGGTGACTTCCTCTTCTGATAGGAGACTGGGAAACCTGAAGGGGGAAGGAAGACTCAATGCCAAGAAGGGGAGACATGGAATCCAAAAGGATGGAAAAAATTCACTTGTGGCTTTCCATCTACAGTGTAGATCTGGCACTGAGAACGGAGATTTTACTGATGGACAAAATGACTCTCTTAAATACAGATGTTTCTCTTCTGTAGAACTGTAACAATTCAAGAGCCAATTTAATATTTTGGGCTTGAAAATTAATTAAAATAAACATAAGTAATTTTTTAAATGACTGTGTCACATGACTTACCCTAACATGATAAAAGGGAGTAAATATAAGTAGTTACACATATATATTAAACAGGGAAAAAAGAATCCCTCTGTAGTAATATACATACAGGTTGAGGACCCCTACTTTAAAATCTGACATACAAAAATGCTCCAGAACCCAGAATTTTCTGAGTATGGACATGACATCAAAAGTGGAAAATTACACACCAGGAAACCATTTCGTGACCAAAATTATTGATAATATCACATAAAATTACCTTCAGGCTATGCCCTTAAGGAGTACATAAAATATAAATGAATTTTGTTGAGGTTCAAATCCCATCCCCCAGATGTCTCACTACACATGCAAATCTTCCAAAATCCCAAACAATCTGAAAGCTAAGCCACTCCTGGTGGCAAGCATTTGTAAAAGGAGTGCACACCCTGCATGTCCCCACAGCTGCCTTGGGAACCTTTAAAGGCACTTTGGCGCCATGAAATATCTTACAAAACTCCACAAAACTGACCCTTCATAGATTCCACCAGCAAGGTTTCCTGGAGAGTAAACACTCCTTTTTATTATCATTTTATTATTTATTTTTATTATAAAGAATATAATAATATAAAAATATTTATTATAAAGAATACTACTCTAACGAAGTTGCTGAAGTCTCTTGCTTCATTGGCTCAAGGTTACACAATCTCACAGAAACAAGGAATGCAGTGAATTTATATGTAATGAATATATATACCATGGCATTAAATGTATTAAAACTATCGATATAATAGGTATATACTTCTATAACTAAAAATAAAATTATGGCTTATTATTCTTCCTAAGTTCTACAAACACTGAAAGATCACTATTCCCTCTAGAAACCATAGAAATAACTGAAGTATACTTAGGTCTATAAAGAAATGTTCTTTTTTGTTAGGTTGGCAGAACCATGTTATTAAATAATTGATATTAATCATAAACCAAATGTCATGATCTCTTTCCTTCATTTCAGGACCAAATGCTAATTATGTGGAAAATTACCAGAAGGACAAATGGTAAATAAAATTTAGTCCACATTAATAGGTGTACAAAAGACAGTAAATGACTTTTAACCTTTTGTTGGATATGTTTAGAGAAGGAAAAATTATACACTAGGAAGCATTTATCTGTTTACTGAATTGTTAAAAACCTCAAAAATTATTAAAAAAAACCCTCTAAGCTTGTTAAAACTAAAGTGCTTTTGGTTAGTTTACTGTATCTTATGTAATTGCTCTTTTTTAGATATCAAACAAAAATCACAACATAGCTATAATAAAATAAAAATTACTGACATCATTTGTTGTCATCTTAAAAAATACTTTTAAGGGGCAGGCGCTGTGGTGCAGCAGGTTTTAAACCCCTGGCCTAAAGTACCGGCATCCCATATGGGCACCGGTTCTAGTCCCAGCTGTTCCTCTTCCCATCCAGCTCTCTGCTATGGCTTGGGATAGCAGCAATGGAAGATGGCCCAAGTCCTTGGGCCCCTGCATCCACTTGGGATTTTTAAGACACCTTTAAGATAAAAGTTTTGCTGTACTGAACGAAATAAAAGTAACTCCAGAATTTTATTTAGAAAACTAATCTTTTTAGCAAATATAAACATTTCCATTTAAGACAATCCCATTATTTTTTTAAAAAAGATTTATTTTATTTATTTGAAAGACACAGTTACAGAGAGGGGTAGAGACAGAGAGAGAGGTCTTCTATCCACTGGTTCACTCCCCAGATGGCCGCAATGGCCGGAGCTGCACTGATCTGAAGCCAGGAACCAGGAGCTAGGAGTTTCTTCTGGGTCTCCCACATGGTGCAGGGTCCCAAGGACTTGGGCCACCTTCTACTGCTTTCCCAGGTCATAGCAGAGAGTTGGATGGAGGAGGAGCAGCTGGGACTAGAACCAGTGTCCATATGGGATGCAGGCGCTTCAGGCCAGGGTGTTAACCCACAGTGCCGCCCCCCCCCCCATTATTTTATTTATTTATTTATTTTGACAGGCAGAGTGGACAGTGAGAAAGAGAGAGACAGAGAGGAAGGTCTTCCTTTTTCCATTGGTTCACCCCTCAATGGCTGCTGCGGCCGGCACACACCATGCTGATACGAAGCCCAGAGCCAGGTGCTTCTCCTGGTCTCCCATGCGGGTGCAGGGCCCAAGGACTTGGGCCGTCCTCCACTGCACTCCCGGGCCAGAGCAGAGAGCTGGATTGGAAGAGGAGCGACCGGGACAGAATCCATGCCCCAACTGGGACTAGAAACTGGGGTGCCGGTGCTGCAGGCAGAGGATTAGCCTACTGAGCCACAGCGCCACCCCCCCATTATTTTGAAACTATGCATATTTATTTCTCAATAAGAAGCAAAGATTAAATGTTACAAATTGGGAGTCATGAAAATCTGGACTCTTCTTTTGGTGTTCCTAAACTTGATGTAAAAGATCTATGAAATACTTATCTTACTACTGGTACTGGAAAAGTCTGATAATCACCATTGGTTACTGCGTTTTATTCTATCTAACAATGAGAGCTATGTAGCTCATTTTTTTAAAAGATTTATTTGAAAGGCAGAGTTACAGAGAGGCTTAGGCAGAGGCTGAGGGAGAGAGAGGGAGGGGGAGGGGGAAGAAGAGGGAGAGAGGGAGAGAGGGAGAGAGGGAGAGAGGGAGAGAGGGAGAGAGGGAGAGAGGGAGAGAGATTTTCCATTCACTGGTTCACTCCCCAGATGGCCGCAATGGCCGGAGCTGGACAGATCTGAAGCCAGGAGCCAGGAGCTTCTTTCGGTCTCCCACATGGGGACAGGGGCCCAAGGACTTGGGCCACCTTCCACTGCTTTCCCAGGTGCATTAGCAGGGAGCTGGATTGGAAGTGGAGAAGCCAGGACTTGAAACAGCACCCATATTGGATGCCAGCACAGCAGGCGTTGGCTCTATCCACTATGCCACAGCGCTGGGCTGCAGCTCATTTCTTTATTGTCTCAACTTGGAGGAAGCTCAGAATCAAATCAAATATTGAAAGAAATTTCCTTCAACCCCTCCATTTGGTTTTTGGACTTTTAATTCATTTTAGCTTCTCTGGTTTCAGGCTGGGGAGGGATTAGGGAGGAGAAGTGGGTAGGATACACATTAATAATAAAAGGTAATCACTTGATAGAAATTTCAGGGGACAGAAAAATTGAAGCTTAAGTGTTGGGAAGTCGCGGTTACCGAGAACAGTAAGCCAAGACAAATCCTGCTCAAGCCTGTTACTCCTGAACATCGCCATCACACCCTCTCTAAATCCGGTTGCTTTCTCTCGTGTTATCTCCACTGGTTTCTAATTCCACCACAATTTCCTAAGAGTTTATCTTCTATTTGTAAAAATATTACCAATTTTAACTTTGAAATCTTCACTTATCCACCTAGAAAAATGTATGTTATCTTCAGTGTATAAAGAATGCCTTTTAATTAATTCCACCGGGGCAGGTGTTCAGCAGGCAATTAAGATGTCAGTGACGACAGACATCTCTCTCACTGGAATACCTGGGTTTGATACCCAGCTCTGGCTCCCGATGCCAGTTTCTTGATAACGCAGACCCTGGGGGGCAGTAGTGATGGTTCAACTTATTGGGTTCCTGAAATCCACATGGACTGAGTTCCCCAGCTCCCAGTTCAGGCCCCAGCCCAGCTCCAGCCATTGAAGGTATTTGAGTAGTGAACCAGCAGACAGGAGCTCTTTCTCTCTGCCCCTCAAATAAAAAGTGAATTAATTAAAAAGTGTCTTAAACAAATAATTCTACCAAGAAGACAAACCGAGGAGCTGTGACAGAGGAGGGACACACCCTAACACGCAGCCCAAAATCTCTGGTCCAGGCAGGGAAGGTTTCAGGTAGTAGCTCGTAAACTATGCTATGAGAAGGCTAAGACAGTACAGCTAAATCATCTTATGATTATGGCTTATTATTTGCTTACAATTTAACCCTTATGCCCACACTATTTTATAAGCAGCAGGACTTAGACTGACAGCTCTCCAGACTGGGAGTGAAAATCCACTGGACCAAGAGAAGAGCCAATGCAGCATGTGAGCCCGCCCTGCCCTGAACGATAAGCCAATCAGGGAAGCTTCCTGGTTCCTCGGTGATCAGGATCACAAAACACTGGAAATAAACTGGCTTCCCTCCAGGGGAGGTCCAGGAGGAACTCCACTGCCCAGCTTGCAGATGCTTCTCACCAGAACTGAACTGATCAGGCCAGCCCTACCATTCATTTCCGAATGTTCCGTCCCAAGCTCATTCACTTATAATAAATAAATTTATGAGCTAAATGCAAAATTACCAACGAAAAGATGTCTTCTTCCCATCCTGTATTTAGAAAGACTTCCAGTTTTGGCAAATCCCGCAACACAGACATAGTTCTTATGTTTGAGTTTT